ACCGTGGTTCGGATTCTGCATAAACAAAGTAGGCCCCGTCTAGATAGCCCTGAAGTTATTCTGTGGCCCTGACAGCAAAAAGGAGACGTTAACTGAAATCTTTAACCGAAAAAGTAGCAAAATAAGCGTTCGGCATTTAACGTTTTTTTAGCGTTTTTATGTTAACGCACGTGTGTTTGGAATTTTGGGTGTGGCTTAACACGACAGGATCGGGCTAAGCCTTATTGATGATTTCTGAAATATAATATATATTTTTTTCGGCCACACACCCGCTTTACCCGACCCCTGAGAGCGACCCGAAAGTACAGAGTAATAGACTCTTAATGAATACCTCAGCAAACTGAAGCTAAGAAACAACGGTAAATGCAGATTCTATAGAGAAAATGGGAAAACACCAGGACACCTCATAACTAAGTGCGCCGAGACGACAACCATTCCTGACATAAACTTTGGTACGATTGATATCGGAGATGGAGAACTAACTCTGTAAAACCGTCTCAGATACTGACTTTTGACGCTTACATGTGTGTAACTCAAGAAAGGGGGGCACAATGGATCTATAAGGTTGCAGTAATTAATACCCCCTCCCCTACAATCTACAATCACCATCATTATCATATTAAGCAATTCAGTTGTAATTTTACAAGCTTTTCTTGGCATATAATTCGATTATTTGTTCATTTGTGCTGTTTGATGGCTTTCATTCTTCTTTGTTTCATCGGAGTTTTTAATTTAAATTGTCATTTCCTTTATCTTTTTAAGCATAAGAAATTACAAATACCATTGTGTACTTCGTATCTAGTGGTCCATCTTTCTTCAGGCCTTCTCAATGGATTTTTTTTTCTCAATAACAAGGGGCCGTCCTCTGCCGGAAACACTGCAATCTGTCAGGCCTATTGTGTTTGTCCCCTTTCTATATCTTCACCCATTCTCCTATCCCTGTGCCCTGCACTAACTTATGCAGGTCCTTGATAGGATGGGGGAGCATAGTTCCTCCGGTTCTAGCCTAGCTTTTCCAAATAAAAAGTGTCACTTGCGATCCAAAGCCTCGCAATTACATATTATGTGCTCCGCTGTTTCAGGATCTTTATCGCAGAGTCTGCATCAAAGACTTCCTTGATACAGGTTGAGCTTGTTCAGGTAATACTTGACAGCCATATATTATGTGTCCTGTCAAGAGGCCTGTTGTAATCCGCACTTTATTCTTGCTAAGCATTAGCAGTTCTTTTGCGGTTTTAGAGCTAGGCCCTTGGTGAAAGGCCTTGCTGTAACTGTGTTCCTGTCTGTTTCTCGAGTGGACATTCTGCTTTTTCCTGATCCAGAGTTTTAGTGGGTCATACATTTGGGCATTCCCAGTACTGGCTCTAGACCAAGATAAGATGCTGATGATCCTTGCCTAGCTAGCTCATCGGCTTTTTTGTTGCCTTGGATGCCGCTACTGTGGCCCGGCACCCAAAATAATTTAATTCTGTTCCTCCGTGTCAGAGCTCCCAGTTCACCCAGGCATTCTCAGACGAGTCTCGACGATACCTTTGGGCTCATAAGCGCCCCAAGTGCCGCCTGACTGAGTTTAATTTTTTGGTATTGATGAGCTTACCTGAATAAGCTCTTCTATTATTTTGTCACACTCCTTGTTACATTTTCCAAATGTTGGTTCCAGGTCAGTTTGGTATGCAGCGTGATTCCTAGATATTTGACCTCCCCCGAGAGAGGAATCTCATCACCGCAGAGTCTTAGATGTTCTAGTCCCTCCAAAATGTTTCGCTTGGTGAAGGGGATTATTACGGTCTTTGTAGGACTAATATTTAGTCCCTACCGTGTCACCCATGATTCCACAATCTTCAGAGCTCTTTGCATTCGCTCCCTTACTGTTTTGTTAAACTTACACAACACTTCTGAATGGATACACTGGCTATTACCATATAAATGATTTAATTTTGTAGATCATGTCTTCTATCTTATACATTCGATCCTCTTGTGGTACATTTTCAAGCAACCATCACCCCACAGTACCAGTTCTTGTACTACTTTATTGCCCACCAATTTTAAATCTCATTCATATTTTTTATAGCTCTTCAGGGCTATTAACGATAAGAGCAAATCTTCGTTATTGAAATTCGTTATCTGCGGTTGTTTCAATCATGTTAAAAATGTCTCCAAAGTGTCTTCTTGGGATTTCTCGAGACCCGTCTGTGTTCACTGCGGGCTGTTGTGTTGGTTAGAACATTATATGCTCTCAATACCTTCAAAGTTTAAAATAATTAGAGAGAGTGTCTTTTAAACAAGTCAATTTTCACAAGGTATTTTAAAAGGAACATCTGAACAGTACTTATTAAAGAAACTCAATCATATTATTCAAATCTAGAATGCCACTTTATCTAAAGAAGAAGACATTCGATCAATGTGTACTACCAGTCATGACGACCTATACATTTGAAACTTGGATACTTAAAACGGACATCATAAGGAAACTGCAGGTCTACATATAACGCTCAATGGAATGAAATATGCTGGGAATAACCAAAGGAGATCGTAAAAGAATAGAGTGGCTACGACAAAAGACCCAGGTAATAGATGTAATCCACAGAATCAAATCCCTCAAGTGGCAATGGGCAGGACACCTGGCAAGAAACGGACAACAAATGGACCACAAAAATTACAGCAGTAGAACATAGAAGACCAAACCTGAGATGGGACCATGATATTAGAATATTATATAGGTTAGGCAATCTATAGATGTACCGCCTGAATTAACAAAAACGTATAACTAAAGACTAGATCACTTAAGCCCATGAACACATGGATTTAAACAAAAATAACTTTAATGTATTTTACCAAGAACGAGAAAATATTAAAAACATATTATTGTTGAAAATCTGAACAATAAAAACTTTATTTGCATAAGAAATATTACAGCTTTTGGCGGATATTTAACATTAAATATTTAAGATTTTCCTTCAAAAGTAAACTGTTAAAATAAACATGTGTTTGCTTCTATGTCAACGAACCAAATTTAAAATATTTAAACTCGTATTAGTGCTAATTTAGAAAGATTACATAATGATTAAAACAATGTTTACATAATGGTTATACCTGGAATATATTGTTAATATTTTGTGGTAGCCGAATTTATTTAACATAGTATGTAAGTAAAATGTTGAATGGTAGTAGACAATGATTCAATATTGATATTATAAAGCTTGTCGCACACTTGGCCGTCACGTTCCGTCCCGTTCCGGCACGTCAAAGTGCGGATAGGATTAAAACCGTGCAAATGAATAGACTATCGCACATTAGCACGAATAAATAAAAGGAGATTATAACTAAATTATATAGAAACTCTCGCCAATATATACAAAGAAGCCAAAGCAAGAGTAATGATATATAAAACAACCCCAGAGTTTCCAACTGGCAAAGGAGTACGACAGGGAGATGCGATAGTATCCCCAAAACTGTTTACAGGAATGTCAAAAGAAATCTTCCGTCAACTGGACTGGAACAACAAAGGATTAAAATAGATGGAGAATAGCTTAAACATCTAAGATTCGTTGATGCAAGTACAAATTATTGAACTAAATACAGCCAGCAATAAAGGGGGTCTCAAAATGAATTTAACAAAAACTAAAGTAATGTACAACGAACTAGTGGAAAGAAAAGACATTATAATAAATAACACACCACTGGAAATAGTAGAAGAACATATATATTGGAACAACTAATATATACACAGCTCGGAATCTCTACTACCAGAAATCAACAGAAGAATTAAGTTAGCATGAAGTACTTATGGAAGAAACTCATATTAAAATCTAGAATGCCACTTTATCTAAAGAAGAAAACATTCGACCAATGTGTACTACCAACTACCAGTCATGACCTGCATGCGAAACCTGGACACTTAAAACGGACATCACAAGGAAACTGGAGGTCTCACAACGTTCAATGGAACGAAATATGCTGGGTATAACCAAGAGAGACACTAAAGAATAGAGTTGATACGACAAAAAGAAAATACCCAGGTAATAGATGTTATCCACAGAATCAAATCCTTCAAATGGCAATGCGCATGACACCTGGCAAGAAAAGCGGACAATACCAGGAATCAGAAAGTTTGTCCCGGCGAAAGTTTTGTCTTGGCCGGGACCTGGTAACTAAAAAAGTGTGTACTACACACATAATATATTTTTTTCTCTAATATTTAATGTTTTGTTTCAATTATTTAAAAGCTTAAAGATAATTGTCCCGGAATCGCCGATGCTCAAGTTGGGAACCCTAGGGCTACACCATTGAAAATGATGTTGATGATGATAAAATAAAAGGAGAATATAGAGGGAATACATCCCCGTAATTAATGGTAGGATAAAACTGCGAGAATGAAAATGATATATGTAGTTTAATATCTGTGATACCTAATACGGTAATATTTATCTCTGTATTACTGGTTGCATGTATTATTAGTAGTACAAGGGTAGTACCATTGTTTACTATATTTATATCATAGTGAGGTTTAAATCTATTCACAAAAAAATGTTACAATAGTTCGGACAATAGTAGTAATACTATTTGAATAGAATTTGGAGTAATTTTAGAAAATTGTTAACTCAGTTTCTGCTACAATTTTTTCTATTGTTGGCTGTTGGTAGAGTTAATGCATAATATATTATATATTTTTATGTACCTACCTATACAATTTTGTTTAAAAAAATAAGTATATCTTACATTATACTTAACTATCATTAAAAATGTATGATTTATAATATGCTTTTCAAAATTTCTACAATAGATAGAAGGTGGGTCTTAAATGAGTGCAAAAAAAAATTTGGAAATCTTTTTAGTTTTTAGTTTTTAAACGGTAAACAGAAAATATGTTTCTTTTATCGAGATCCCCTTGAGCCCTGAAAATATTTGCACGTATTTAAGACTCGCTCTGTATATTTTGTAAATAGCCACAGTTCTATTGAAAATTTTACTCATCCAAATGAATTTAAACCAAAATTTTGCTTGTTCTTTCAACTTATTTTATTAGAACTAATTCAACAATTTAAATACTTTTTACAAACTAAATAATTACAATTTTTGTAATTCTATTTTAAAAACCTAATATGAATGAAATGATTATTAATTCATTATCACAATCATAATTATAAAAATATATCCTATAACTCGTACTTCTAATAAAGCTTAGATGTATAATGCTTTCGTAATAACAAAGCATCAGTAAAGCTTATTATTAAAAATTTACAATAGGTATACCAAATTCGTATGATCTCAAGAAAAACTATTTACAATAAAAGATGTTTTTTTTATAAAAGTTATAACAGGCTATCCAATGCTCCAAAAACTAAGTTTTCTGCGATCAGTGATCCTTTTTGGATTGTGTAAATGGATTTGTTATCAATTTGGCTACACTCTGGAGTACTGTAATAGGAATCTGCAAATATAACAATAAAAAATAATTACTAAACGTTCTTCAACCCAGTATGAGTACATATCAAAGTAAAACCTCTAACGAGGGGTTGGGGACAAAAAACTTTATAGAAACCAGAAACCTACTTCCTAGATTGACGTTTGTCTTTCTGGGTCTGAAGATGGGAATTGTTGAAAGTCCCGAAACATGACGCCCCTCTTCTTTTTTTGAAGCAAATTAAATTTATATAAACATCTTAAAAGATTGTGAGTATTTTGTCACTTACCCCTCATCAGAGGTTTTACTTCTATAAAAAATAATATTTATACATTATATTGAATATGATTAGATAATATAATAATTATAATTAGATTTTTTTACATCAACCTGTCCGAGATTTAGTTAGTAGTTTACAGCGCAGTGGATAAAGAATACAAAGACGGAGACAGTGTTGCCAGAACTACGGATTAATCCGTAGATTTACGGATTTTGGGTACAGTACGTTAATAATACGAATTTTCTATCATTAAACAAAAAAAATTAATATAATATTATATAATTAAACAAAGGACAGCGTCAGAGTTGGTTTGGAAATGAACATCGCTGTTATTTAATATGTAAAATATTATGGTAAACGTCAATGCTTCGTCATTTCCAAGCCAACTAAACGACTTTTTTCGATCTTACGAAATATTCAGTACATATAAAAGAGTTTTTATTTTTGTTGATTTTATGTTTAACACAATTGGATTTTGCATCCAAAGATATTTTCGTCAAACGTATTACAGATATTACATATTTTAATATGGCAACACTGTCGCTTTCAGTTCCACAATTAGAAAAAATGAGTATTTTATGCGTTGGCTACAGAAAGAGTATAGATGCCCCACCGTACAGCACTTGATACGTAATGAGAAATCAAATCAGCCTTGTCACAAATTCGCCCATTAGGTTGCGTATCTTCCCAATTCTCTGAATCAACGGCAACATAATAAAGACCAGCGTGACGCTATTTTTTATTGTACTGTATTTCTTACTTGAAATATATCGTCTATGAATCTGGCAAACATGGAACCGGTTCTCTGAGGCTTGAAATTTGAAGGATCTGACTGTTTTGCCGGATGTGTGGGGGCTGGATTAGCTCCTGTAGTGATTCCGGTGATCTCCACCGTGGAAGGAACAATGTGTTGCGATTGCTGTCCCAGCTGTATCTCTACTTCCGGTTTCTTCTCTTCCGATACTGTGTTGACGGCTATATCGTTTACGGTTGCCTAAAATAAATCAACCATACAGATTTTATAAAAAGTCTAGTAGAAACATTGAGAAAGCTTTAAAAGAATATTATACATGACGATTAGGGAAGTGTGTCATTACTTTCAAGCGATTAGATTAACTAAATACAGTACTGAAAACTTGTCTACTATTTTATTTACAACACCGATATTCAAAAAGTAGGTAGAATAGTTTATTTGAAAATGAGAAAATATAGTTAACAGGTCATAGACACTCAATGGTACTTTTATAGAGCTACAAATTTAGTTTCTTCCGCATTGCCAGATGGCACAAAAGACATTGAAGTACAGGTGTCTAATTTCAGGGCCTATCTTACCATAAGGCCCATAAGACCCAGGCCTTGGGCCCGGTGGTCTGGGGGGCCCCTTAAGGGTTGTAAATTATTCATAATTTCAAATGTAAATTTACACAGCAGAGAAAAATAAACAGTTACCTCTGATAAGGAAAATAGAATTAAATAAAATAAGCTTTAGATTGATATAATTAATGCATTTTTTAAAAGTATTTATAAATTTATATCAAAGATACCGGCACCGGCGATTCCCCAATCTAAAAAATAACGTTTTATTTTTTTAACTCAAACTAACAAAAGAATTTTTGAATTTTATTGGAAAAGAGGACCCGAATTTTTTCTTGTGCCTAGGGCCCGACCAGATGAAAAATATGCTCTGTCTGATTTATAAATGAAGATGACATGACAGTTTCTATGTTGACTACCATAGATAAAGAAAACAAGTTTAGACTGGAATGCTCGACTTGACGCCAAAACTTGTTAATAGAATAATTACTTGTTAATAGACAAGGTTAATAGATAGTTAAAATAATTGTTTTGTAGCGCATACGTTGTAGGGCGCTGCTATAGCGGTTGCTAAGAATAACCGCAAACAAGAACAGAAATAATTTTCTCTTGTCAAAATCAGAATCCTCAAAATATATAAGTCTCCCGATTTGTCGGAAATATGTCTTTGGAAATATCGGTGTTTTGTGTTTAGAGTTTGTGTTTTTATTACTAAGGGCGTTATGATATTTACAATCGATCATCATTTTCGTGTTAGATACTAAACTTTTTTAATAAAGACAATTTAGAAATAATACATTTTTGAACGAAATAAAAAATAGTTTGATCATAAATAAGTATATAGTTTTACTATGTTATAATTTATTTGTTAAATCATTAAAAATAATAGGCAATATGTGCTCCATTGTTGGTATTTAAAATATATGTATTCATAATTTAATTTTTGTTTTGACTATGTTACACTTATAATGATCTAATAAAAACACAAAATGTAGTAAAAAAGTCTATATTTATTATTTTATATTTTACAAGGAATAATTTTGCACTGAATAATGTTGCCGTTTTAGTTAGCATTAATAAGTAACGGAACGCTAAAATTATGTTATACCAAAACTCTCCATTAGTTTCTTCCGAATCAACAGGTGGCTCTAAATGACAGACTTATTTGTTTTATATTAGTGTCCCATCTATCTCTAGTACATGATAGATATGAGCACTTTCAAACAATGTCCGTTTAGTAGATATGTGACATAATAAACGATTATATAGAATATTTAACCGTTAACAGAAGAAATAAGAAGATGCGCAACATGATGGGCAATTTCGTAGCCACAAAACCTGTCCGAGATGTGGCTGGCGTTACCTTCAGCCTGTCTGAGATTTAGTTTACCTGGTTTAGCCCTGCGCCGCTGCGCGTTGATAGTCGTAAAAAGCGAATTAAGAAAATATTAGTCATAAAAACGGCGGATAAAGAATATCGTACCGTAGTTCTGCTTTCAGTCGGCAGAGTGTGTGGTTGCCAGAACTACAGATTCATCCATAGATTTACGGATTTTGGGTACAGTACGTTAATAATACGGATTTTATATCATTAAACTATCTAATATAATATTATATGATTAAACAAAGAACAGCGTCAGAGTTGGCTTGGAAATGAAGATCGAAGATATTCTATATGTAAAATATTATGGTAAACAATAGTCGTTATTTCCAAGCCAACTAAACGACTTTTTTTCTATCATACGACATATTCAGTTCCTATAAAAAAAAACTTTTATTTTTGTTGTTTATTCTTACCAAACCAAACCAACATGAATAAATTTTCAATACAAAAACGCGGATTTTTCATCAAAGATATTTTCGTCAAACGTATTGTTACGTTTTTCGTCGGTTCCGTGTGGATAGAAAGTCACAATTTATTTAAACACTATTTATTTAACACTAATTAACAAAAACAATAACGATAAAAGACTTATAGAACTATTTACAAACGATTTATAACTAAGAATTTATTTTGAATTTTCGCGCGTCAACTGCACTGGTATATTTATAACTGCCCCCTGTAGGCCACCGCCGCTGGCTTTTATACCGACAGGTAAAGAACTCTAGAATTGTCCATAGATCGTTAGATGTGTAGAGAAGGTTTTCGAATGTTCTCGTATGTACTAGTCCATTCCAGTGGCACTCGATTCTTCTCGAACGAATGAATCATTGCGGTGTCTATGCGATGTTAAGGTCATCCGAGGGCGGGCCATATTGTGAGGTTAGGTCGAGTCCACACCGGCCCGCAACACTGCCCCCTTCTTAGGCACATGCTCGTCCCGAGATTATACGGTGAATGAAGGTATTTGCAAAGCTGGCCCCTGGTACATTGCGAAGTCTGGTAGAAATAGCAGTCTACAGTTTTCTCTCCCGATCTCAGCTTTGGGTTGTAGCAGCAAACGAGGATCTCGATTCCCGTAAATCTGAACAAGACTTCAATCATGTTCCGGATTGTACGCCAACTCAAACCATCGAGTCCACACGCCAGCTTCGGAATGGCTAATCGTGCAATGTTGTTGTTTAGCAGGGCTTCTCTCAGTTCAATCAGGGTCTTCCATAGATTGAGATAAGTCGGCTTACTCGGGGACCATTCCTTGGTGACCAGGTAGAAGATGTGCCTTGCTTGACCATGTGCATTGTCGGTTAGCCTCAAGACGCTTCCAACCTCTGGATCCTGTCGGCGTAGTTCTCCGACACGCCCAAACTTCTCATTGAACGTCGCAGCGATTCCTCTGGACATCCGCAAATCTCGAGCCACACAATGAGCGAGCGAATAATCAGGAGGCACGGAAAAGAGGTCTCGTTGATCTTCTTTGGTTACACCATAGCGAGCCTTCTCACTGCTGTTGTATCGGGCCATGAAATCGTCAAAGGACATCTCCGAATCAGGGGGATCAAAGCTGCAGGTTCTCACGGTCCCAGCACGATCTTCTATTTCGCCTTGGTAGGGGCTCAAACGGTTGAAATGGACTACCCTCGGTTTTCCTTTTGGCAATTTTCTGATACGGTATACGACGTCATTAATTCTATCCATGACTTCGTATGGCCCTTCCCACGAGGATTGTAGCTTCGGAGATAACCCACGACGTCTCTGCGGGTTATATAGCCACACCAACTTCCCTGGTTGGTATCCTCCATGCTCAGCTTGAATGTCGTAGTGTTCCTTCATTCGGTCACTAGCACTTTGAATATTTAGGCGGACTCTCTGATGAATGTCGTCCATCCTTTGACGTAGTGTGTGGACATAATCTTCTCCGGCGACTTCTTCTCCCGGTCGGCAACCAAATTTCAGATCACAGGGTAGGCGCACTTCCCGTCCCATAACGATGCTGGCTGGAGTTTGCCCTGTAGATTCTTGGACGGATGAACGGTAGGCCAACAGGAACAGGTGAAGAAATTTGTCCCAGTCTCTTTGGTGGTCAGAGACTACTTTGGCCAGATAACGGTTGATAGTTCTGTTCATGCGTTCAACCATCCCATCGGATTGTGGATGTAGAGCAGTCGTCCTGGTCTTGCGGATGTTCAGGACTTCACAGACGCCTTGGAACAGATTGGACTCAAAGTTTCTTCCCTGATCTGAATGAAGCTCCATGGGAACACCAAACCTGCAGATCCATTCTTTAACAAGGGCATCAGCAATCGTGGACGCTTCTTGATTTGGCAACGCGTAGGCCTCGACCCATTTGCTGAAGTAATCCATTACTACCACAATGTATTTGTTGCCATCGTTCGTCTCCGGGAAAGGACCAGCCACGTCGATCGCTATTCGTTCGAAGGGACTACCAACATTGTACTGGCGCATAGGGGCTTTACCACGCTTTTGTGGCCCATTAATGGCTGCGCAAATGTCACATTTCTTACACCAGGCCCTCACATCTTCTTTGCAGTTCACCCAGTAGAACCGTTCACGCAGCTTGCCAAGTGTCTTGGTAACACCAAGATGTCCTCCGCTGGTTCCATTGTGAACTTCCTCCAAGACTTCTGGGACCCTCTTCTTTGGAATGACGATCTGTCTTCTCTCTTCTTGTCCCTCCGGTCTCTCGATCACACGGCGAAGTAGTCCGTTATCTATTACCAAGGAATTCCATTGGGCCCAGTACGACTTTACGTTCGGCGAATATCTGCAAACTTCTTCCCACGTTGGTCTTTGGCCTGTGTTTTTCCAGTTAATTACTAAACCTAATTCTGGGTCACTGGTTTGGTCATTTGCAAGATCTTCGGGTTGCCATCTATCATTAACCACAGTTGTTCTTAGGAGTTTCACTTCTTTCTCTTCTGCTCGGGAACAATGCTTACAGTCCTTAGCGCAAGGTCTTCTGGAAAGTGCGTCGGCATTCCGATGGATTGCCCCAGCTCGATGTTCTGTGTCGAAGTCAAATTCTTGTAATCGTTCAATCCATCTAGCTACCTCCCTTCAGGATTCTTAAACTGCAACAGCCATTTCAAAGCAGCATGGTCTATTCTTAACAAGAACTTTCTTCCATAGAGATACTTGTAGAAGTGTTCCACTGCTTTAACTACTGCTAGTAATTCTCGTCTGGTTACACAGTAGTTCCTTTCCGGTTTTGCCAAGGTCTTACTAAAATAACCAATGACTTTTTCTTGACCATCCTGGATCTGAGACAGAACAGCGCCTAA